CCACCACTCACCCACTTCTCCACTCCAACCCGCCATTTTCCAACCTTCCTTATTTAATTTTATCCTCTCCAAAACCCTAACTTCCTCAATCTCAATCATTCACTATATTAAGCTTGCTCATCACTTGTTCTCTAGATGAATCCAAGGACACCCACAATCCATTCTTAATCATTGTATACTACACATCACATACTTTTTTTCTCACACCCTTACTAGCCATTCAAATAGTCTCATTAATATTAAGATTTTATATAATTTTTAGTACATTATTCTAATTAGGGTATTTGACTCTTCAGTGTATCCTAACGTGATTTAACTAGCTTCGAATTATTAGTCACTATATATAATTCTAGTCGTACATTTTTTTACAAAAAATAAAAAATAAATTTAATTGATAATTAAAAAAAAAAACTAGTTAATTGAGACCGGAGATAACTTAAATTTTTTTTTTCTTTTCGAACAAAGTCTTCCAAGAAAATTAAATTTCTATCTACATGTTTGAAGAACTAATTATCTACAAGTGTGTTGAACCTAGTTGGTAGCTTAATCATATTTAAAGCTTATTAGGTGTTATACAAAACTTAACTCATTCCTTTTCCTATAAGTCCTTCTTTGTTTTTTTGACTTTGCCAACCATCTCAAAATTATTGAGTTAATTTGTAAATCAATCATAAATCACAAATCGTTAGTATGACTTTAAAGATCATTACTGTAAATCAAAAGTCACTAAATTTATCATATAGAGTACCTAATCAGTGACGTTTTAAGATTATTTTGGTAAAAGTATTCAGTAAAATTGTAATTATATGACAATGTAATTAGAACCATTGTACTCGTATATATTTTCTCTACTTTATATAGAACATAGTACATGTGTATATAATAAGGTTATTGCGTTGGGTGTGTTGGTGACATTTCTCAAGACTCTTACAAGCTACAACATATATACTAGCGATCGAGTCCGAGGCCATGGCTGAGTCAGACAACGAGTCAGGAGGTCAACCCGGCAACGCAAGCAACGAGTTCTCGGGTTGCAGAGAGCAAGACAGGTTCCTCCCCATAGCAAACGTGAGCAGGATCATGAAGAAGGCGTTACCGGCGAACGCCAAGATCTCGAAGGAAGCCAAAGAGACTGTGCAAGAGTGTGTATCGGAGTTCATCAGCTTCATCACAGGTGAAGCCTCCGATAAGTGTCAGAAAGAGAAGAGAAAGACCATCAACGGCGATGATCTTCTGTGGGCCATGACCACACTGGGGTTTGAGGAGTACGTGGAGCCTCTCAAGATTTACCTCCACAAGTATAGGGAGATGGAGGGTGAGAAAACTGCTATGATGGGAAGGCCACAAGGTGAGAGGGAAGATGGTTATGCTCATGGTCATGGCCATGGTCATGGTCATGGCCATGCTCATGGGGGTGTGGTGCCATCCCCCATGATGATGATGGTGGGGCATCAGCAGCATCAAGGCCACGTGTATGGATCTGGGACTGGATCATCAAGAACCAGATAGCAGTAAAAGTTTAGGTAAGTTGAATCTCTGAAACTTACCAGACTCAGTACAGGTCTCAAAGGCTCGAAAAGAGCTTACAGATTACTTACTGATATGTTTAAGCATGTGTTTGTTGATTAAGCATGATTCTACAAGGATGGTAATTTGTAATAGTATGTGTTTGGTTTTAGAATGCACCAGCTTCAGCTTGTAATTGCTTGAAATTTCTTTCTTGTTGTGGTTGAGAATATGGACATTGTGGATGGTGATGATGTGGCATGCACAGAATTTTTTGTATTCTTGTTTCTATGTTTTTATGCAGGAAAAAGATGTGTAAGGGCAGGGCTATGCTTTGTTTTGTTTGATGACTGTAGTATGTATGGTGGTATGTATATATATATCTTGGTTGAGAATTTTTACTTTCGAAACGTACAAAATGTATAAGGAAATTATAAAGAGGAAGATATTTTCTTGTTACTTTGAAATTAACCAAGATGCTGGTGATGCTGTTTTTTTTTCTACTTTTGGGGATGACAGATTTTCTACTTTTCCAATTTTAGAGGTTCAATATGATGCGAATGTATATTTCCTTAATTGGCCCTGAGCATATCACCACACAAAAAAGAAGCCAAAGAACTGAGTAGCTAATTTAATTAGTTTAAATGCAATAAATAAAACTCGATACATTTAATAAATAGGGAAAATGATGCATTAGTATGTCATTCTGAGTAGAAATATAAAGAGTGGAAGTGATAAAAGAGAAAAAAAAAACTATATAAATATAATAAATAATATGATGTGATAAAAAAAATAATAATAAGTGCTGATATTTGTAAGGTTGGTGTGTCTAATTACTCAGTAAATAATAAAGTGTTTTAAACACTTTCAATAAGGTTTGATAATAGAAAGAAAAATTATTTAAAAGAGTGAAAAATATCTTAAATGATTTGAAAGAATTAGTGTTCTGAAGAATAAGAAAAAGTTAAATGTTTAATTGAACCGAAGAGACAGCGGTTCGTGATCTGAAGAGCTTTTCGTTACAGTTGACCTGAAATGGATGTTGTGCGTTTTTGATCTTAAAAAGGCAAGCATGATAATTTTCACGAGAACAATAATATCTGCATAACTTTTCTGTCTTCATATAATAAAATATATATTGCATAAAAAACATAAAATCACTTAATACTTAGATATTAAGTAATCAAAAACTTATAATTAAGAGAATGAACTTATTGTCTATTTAACTTTTATACTCGTGTATAAGATAGAAAAATGTTTTTAAATTGAACAATATTAACAAGCGATTTTAGAATATTGAGTTACAAAAATGAAAATACACACGTATTTAATAAATAAAACATTAATTATTATATTAAATTATTTAATATTTTAAAATAATTGCAAATATTTAATAGATTATATTGAATTTTTTAGTTCTCAAACATGATTGTCTATCTCATTAAGAACTCACGTGTTCTATAAAAAAAAAATTGTTTTAGTTAGTACGTTAAAAATACTTGTTAATTAACCTCGTGCTTTTACTTATATAATACGATGTGTATTATCTTAATCAGAACAGTATCTATTAAAAGATACTTATGGTTTAAAAAACAAGTTATCAAGTGTTATTTGAGTTGGATAAGCTCATTTTGTAAGCTAATTAATTATCTAAATGTTGCACGAATTTAAGTGAATGAAAGTCTCTTTAACCGTTGAAGCAAGACTTGTTCAAAATAATGTGTTCATTATAAATGGACAAAACATCAAACAGAAAAAAGAGACAGCACTTCCGTGTTATTCGGAGTTAATTGGCCTAAATTTGTTTCAAACAGTGCTATCAACTAACAATATTAATTTCTTGCCTCTACTATGCACTGCTTATTCTTGATGTCTATATATAAAGATGATATTAAGCTACGCAGAGGAAATTAAGAAACAAAGATAACGACGTTAGCATCACAATTCAATTGTTTAAACATTAACCATTTCACATTCATAATATTGGTGAATTATCTTTGGTCGAGGGAAGGAATATATGGTCCCTCGAAAGGACGTTTTTGGCTATTGGGCATTATCCTAGGTTAGATATTCTTGTGTAAAATTAATAGTATCTAGGTAGAATTGCGAATGTTAATTAGTTTTTTGTTCCTTATGAAGAAGGCGTTGCAAATTGACGTTTCAACTCCATGTGAAGGCAGGGCCACACAAAAGTCTTGAATGGAGTCTAATCTCAATGGATGATTGATTTTGTTATTTAGTCAAGATAGTGGACGTTTTGCTTTGAAAATTATTAGAATATAGGTGAAGGGGTGAATAATATTTCTTCACTTGTGATATTTATGGTCCATGTGTGGGTCTACGTGAAATCATAATAAACTGTCTTAAAACTTTAGAAGGGAAGGTGGAAAATGGTGAAAAGAAAACAAATTAATAAATAAATATAACCTATAACATATTTTCACATTTGAAGTTCAATAACAGGTGCCGACAATTTGTGAATACTACTAATTATGCCACAAAGGATACAATTTAAGTGGGGTTTGGCATATGATAAAGGATTTACTTATCTTTGTGGAGTTAATTTAAGTAGTTATCTTTTTGGAGCTCTCTTCACAATTTAAGGAATAAAAAGAAATAAAAATCTCTATTTTTCTTTCAGGAATTACTTAATAGTACAAATGGATATGCATGAAAAGTACAAAATGTTAAACCAATGAGTACCTATGATTTCTGTCAATTCTTTCTTTTATTTTCCCTTTTTTCTATTTAAGTTTTAACCAATAAAAATGAAGTAACTCATTTCGTACTTGATTTTCTAATATCTTCTTTGTAACGTATAGGTATTAGCATCACTGTGTTGTTTTTTCATGAAACAAATACCATTGCTCTTACTTTTAATAGTGGACAAATCTTCAATCGATATTGTATTATTGTTATCCTAAATATTGTATTAATGAGTTGAATTATTTACAAATTATCCAAATTCGACTGGTTTAGAACTTGGTGAATTCATGTATTCAACTGAACAGAGATGAATACAACGTCAATGTGACCAAACCAAAGGAATAACTGGCAAACTGTAAATTTATGGCAATGAATAATTGTAATTGGCAAAGCCTTTTTTACTTTAAACCTTTCTTTAAAATTCAAAATTCCTACTAACTTTTATAAAAGATTTAGGCTTTGAGTCTGTATTCATTAAATAAGTTACCTTTAATTTTAAGAATGTTTTTAAAATTATATTTGATTAAACTTTTTCTCAAGAGAGCTCGAAGGAAAATTTGTAATCTACCCACATAACCCCCTATTTCTATCAACCCTATAAGAAAAATAACACCGACTAAATATCCCCTTATTTATTTTTATTAACCAATTAGGAAAATTACATCTCTCTAGTTAAACAACTCCTAAATTCCCTTAATTCTCTGTCTCTATTTATATATAAGTTGTGATGCTTATGTGGACAAATTGATAATAGGATGACCCAAAACAAGCCAATATATATA